AATGTTTATATTTTGTCGTTCTGCGTAGTATTCTATTTCAGATCTTTCGGTTTATCATCTTAAACGAATTTCTATTTTTTGAATGTGCTCGGGAAAGTTTCTTGTCTCCAAAGCGGACATATGGCGCAGATGTTTTCCGTTATTTTAATGTGAATTTGTCCAAATATTTTGTCTATAGTCGGGAAGGTGAAAGTTGCTTTATGCCACGGCCTTGTGAAGTATAGAACAAAGCTTGGCCAGGCAGACAAGGGTTTATGGCGATTTGGAGCTATTAGGGGCTCAGGTCATTTGATGCTCATAAACCCTCTATTGCGAACCTGGGTTCCGATCAGATGGGATTCGCGTATGGAAACGTTCCCGAACATCAGCTTGAAGATTAGAATTCTCTTGAGTTCAAGACAGTGCAATTCAGCTCTCGAGATCCACCGGAGAGCCCATTCGAACAGTCGAATCTCATCTCTCGATTTAGTATTACCATCGAAAGCAAACATCCTTTAATGTTCAGGCGCGCGATAAACATATACAGTATTCAATATCCATTATTAATAAAACGAGTATACATACAATGTATTAGACTATGCGAATAGAATATATGCTAGTAACTGAGAGATCATCTGCTACTTATTAGAAATATTTATTTTCCTCGTCCTTATGTTTATAGCATGTCAAAGATCATCTATGTTTACAAAAATTTGATAAAAATACTACAGGTAACTTAATTCTGAACATAAAGGATTAAATTTAAATTCAAATTCAATGCTGGAATTTGAGCTTAAATTTTCGGATCTAGACGACGAGACATTTAAAAATTTTACTGCAGAGAAATACAGGAAAGATTTTCCACATTTCTTGTCTTTAGACTCATAATTTGTAGTTACATGGTATTCAGATTGGAAAATCTAAACAATTTTAGCTTCCTAAAAATTCGTCGATCGCAGAGAAAAGAACAAACAGAAGTTATTGCCTCGTTGCCAATGATTTATATGTATTTCGTCGATAAAACACAGTGTTATATGTATCATTTCAAATAATCGATAAATGAACTATACTCTTGTCCGATGGAGTTCACAGGGGGTCACAATGCCATTCATCTTTGCTTATGAATTAATATAAAAATTGTCTTTTATTATCAACGATAATAATTAGAACGCTGCGACATAATTCAATGTCATGCAAGTACAGACAGATAAAACGTTATCTCGAACTTCAGTGCTACCATAATTTACAATTAAAATAAAGCATCTTCAACGCGTATAATACCACAAAGATAACATTCTATCTGCTCTGGATATACTTATGTAATAACATTAAAACGGGTCTAGCTAATTTTACATGTAATAATTAGAGTATTATTCACCTGCGCGAGGAGATTAAAATAAAAACGAGGAAGACACTCTGAAGAGTTTCTAAACCTACTGATATTACAAGGTTCGACGAGACGATTATGTCAATGAACACAAGCGATATTAACGTTAACAAAGAGGGACATCAAGAGTTCGATTCAACGGAGAACGTTCTTCTTCGTATATATATTGGCAAGAAGGATATCACAAGTGACAATAAATTCGCTTTTCTTTTTTTTTTTTTCTTTAACAAAGTAAAACAGCTCGACTCGACAAACTCCGATGGTACGTATGTTTGTTTCGTCAGGAAGAACGAGGCGCAATAAAACACGTTGCGTAAGACACCAACGAGCAAAACTGCGAAACACACAATTACAATTTATATTCAATCTCTCTTACGATATCACGATTCTCGTCGTGATTCTAATCGTCTTGCATCGGCGATCGACGAGTCGATCATCGTTGTTGATCGGTGTATCATTAACTCTTGACTCGTTGGTATGTTTCAGATCTTGCAAGCTATCTAGCCACGTGTACGAATCACGTGCTCGCGAATCAGGAGTGTCCCAAAACCTTCAGAGTGATGGCACAATCCACGACGTTCGATTTTTTTTTCTCTTTTTCTCTTTTCCATGGTTAAATGGTTCGCGTAAGTGGAACCGGACGTTCGGACGATTAGTTGAAGACGAGCATGCTTCTCGTGTCTATGTCGGCGGCGGCGTTGCTGGAAGCAGAACTGTCACCGGATCCCGACGCTTGGCTAGACGCTTGTGCATTGGCGCTGGCTCTTCCGCTTCCGGAAGCGGACGATTTAGCAGACGAGCTGCTGCTAGCGAAGCCTCCGTTGGAATACGAGTTGGATTTCGCGTTTGAAATAGCGCTGGAGCCTGAGGAAGGGAGACGTAATCATTTAATTAAGACCAAGCCTGATTCGACTGCCTTGACCATAATCGATGCTGTCGTTTCGGCACTGGCGGACGTGCCTATGAAAGCAATAGCAAATAATAAACAAGTTAGGCATGTAAAGCTATGAAAATGCATGGTGAGAGAAGTTTAGAAGCTTGTCATTCTCTAGGATGAAGCAAGAATTATTTCTGAATTGCAATTGTTCTCTTGTTAAAGTTATTATTGAAGATGTCAATTAACACTGGATTATTTCCTGGTAAAGTTGAATGCACAAAATTGAACGTGTCTGCGTTTACAAAATGTGTAAAGCAAATGTGACATAATATTTTTATCTTTATCCCATTAAATAAATAAATAAATATTATATAATTAGGATGTTTCTAATGAATTAATTTTTTAAAGAAAATACTTTATTATTTTATACGTCGATGGATGTTCGCAAGACTAGAAATATCTGTAAATCTAGTGTTAAGTATGAAAATAAGTACAAGCATCGATTGCAATTCGAATCTGATAAAGCGAGAAAATAAGATATATGTTGTATTAACTAAATATACCTCCAGAGGCTCCTGATCCAGCAGTGGCGGAAGCTTCAGCTTTTGCACTGGCACCAGCGGAAGCTCCTCCAAAACCACCAGATCCAGATCCCCCAGATCCAAATCCACCAGATCCAGATCCTCCAGCTCCAAATCCACCAGATCCAGATCCTCCAGCTCCAAATCCACCAGATCCAGATCCTCCAGATCCAAATCCACCAGATCCAGATCCTCCAAATCCACTAGATCCAGATCCACCATATCCAGCAGGTCCAGTTTCAAAGCCACCGGATCCACCGATTCCAGCTGATCCACTACTTCCAGCGTTTGCCGAAGCATCAGCTTTGCTTGTCGAACCTGACCCAGTTGGTCCAGACGTTCCATAGATAGGAGCACCATTGCTTGGACCGCCATAACCATTTCCAGTTCCAGTAGCTCCAACGTTTGCCCCAGAGTTTCCAGTAACACCGTTACCAAAAGCTGGTCCCGATGTTCCATAAATCGGTGCACCGTCGGTTGGAGCACCATAACCACCAGTGCTTCCTGCGTTGGCTGATGCGGTAGCTTTGGCATTAGCTCCAGCGGAAGCTCCACCCTGTCCACCACCGTATCCAGTAAGAGCTGGTCCAGGGCTTCCATAAATAGGAGCACCCTTCGTCGGAGCACCGTAGTTACCGCCAATGCTTCCAACACCAACACCAGCTCCACCTTGTCCACTGCCGTATCCAGTAGGAGCAGGTCCAGTGCCACCAACACCTCCAACATTTCCAGATCCAAATCCAGTATTTCCAGCCCCGACACCAGCATTAGCGTTAGCGCCGGCATTAGCTCCAGCACCAGCTTTGCTTACTCCAGGACTGTAAGCTGGTCCAGGGGTTCCATAAATTGGAACACCCTTCGTTGGCACACCGTAGTTACCGCCAGTGCTTCCAACACCAGCTCCATCTTGTCCACTACCGTATCCAGTAAGAGCAGGTCCAATACCTCCGGTGCCACCAGCACCTCCAACACTTCCAGCCCCGGCGTTAGCGCCAGCATCAGCTTTGCTTATTCCACTAGCACCAGGACCGTAAACTGGTCCGGGGGTTCCATAAATTGGAGCATCCTTTTTGGGAGTACCGTAATTACTAATTGGTTGATTGTATCCTCCGGCAGTTCCAACTGCCCCGGCATTTGCTGCAGATCCAGCAACTGGTCCGTAATTTCCTGGCCCGCCACCCTGGCCAGGATACGTTGCAGGAACATCTTTAACTCCAGTTGTCGCTCCGCTATTGCCATTTGTCGGGTTTATATGTGTTACGTAGTGTCCAAGTCCGTGAGAAACTCCGTCTTGAGCTGCACCGTTGAGGAAGGGATTATTCGCACCGATTTGTCCTTGAGAGCCTCCAACTGCACCAGCACTAGCGCCAGCATTTGCAACGGCGTTTGCACCAGCGTTTGCATTGCCAATGGAGCCTGCATTTGGTGATCCTTGAGTTTGGTGACCAGACAGGAATGGATTGGTCGTTCCAAGAGTTTGGGAATTGCCTGGGTAGAAGTTTCCATTGTTAGCTGGCCCTGATGTTCCTGGATATGCATTTCCATTGGCAATGGCTCCTGCATTAGCATTCGCATTAGCATTAGCCGCTGCGTTGCCGTTTCCATGAGAAGATCCACTTAAGAAGGGGTTGTTTGCTCCGATAGGGGTGGATGGGCCACTTCCTGGATAGTATCCTGATCCCTGAGCAGGAGCTGAAGGTCCAGAATAATCGCCACTAAGGCCACCATTGGCATTGGCATTGGCGTTTGCAGTTGCAATGGCATTAGCATTCGCGTTTGCGTTGGATCCTGCCTGGCCAGTCGGATAGTTTGGTTGATAGTAGCCACCCTTTCCAGAACCACCTCCTGGAAAAAGATATCGATAAGTTGAACGAAAAAGTTGGAAGACTTTATGTTTTATCGTGGAAACAATTTATAGTGCAGAAGTGATACATAAATGTTTGTTACTATTGTGCTTCAACATTTAAAAGTAAGGTGAAAACTTACGTCTAGGGGATGACGATGACCTTCACATATATTATCAAAGATCTCTCCTGAGGTAATTTTTCAAGAGGTTAGTTTTATATTAAGAAATTATTAACAAAAAATATTTACAGAATATAAAATATGTACAAAATATTTTACTATTTATTTACTAAGATTGATATATGTATATTTGAAATATTAATATTTCATGTTAATGTTTCCATCCCTTCCATTGCAATCTTAGCCCGAATTAAACCAATCCAAACCTCACCTAATTTATCATGTAACTTATCAACTAAATTCAGATTAAAGTAGTTTGAATTATTTCGGAGATATATTAAATTAGGTTTGTTTTAATTATTCCGAGTTGAGGGGAGAATCCCTCCTCCGTCAGTATGATAAAAAAATTTCATTTTAGTATTAAGTAAATATAATTGCGACGAATATCAACCTTATTGAAAAGTCAATTTCCTCTCGGGATTTACTTTTAATAATTAATAACTTGTTAGAAAATAACCTGTTGGTATTCAGAAAAGTGTTCTTGACAACATTTGTGAAAGTCAAGATCATCGGAGCTGCCTCCCTTGAACGTAAGTTTTACCAAAAGTAATTAATTTTCCAAAGTTACTGTCATATCAGGCTGCAACAAATACTAATGTTATATGTTAATCAAAGTAAGACACAAATAAAAACGGAACCTCATCTCCTCTGGATTATTAACAATTCATACAAACTCTGCGGGTGTCTCGAGGACATTAGTATGGATTCGAAGTACAACAGGGGTAACAATCTCCTCGAGCTTCGAAGCAGGGATATTCTCACTACAAGTGTATCAGTGCATCAATGCGTCATCGCGCCCATTTACACATCGTGTCTATCGATCACTTTCACAATCAGTGAAACTACAGAGACCAATTAAATCAACAGTGCAATTAAATCGACGGTGATCACGATCGACACTGCTCTCCAGCGTGAAACCGTGTGCTCCTTAACCACATGTAGGCGGTATAACAGGCGTCAGTCAACTGTACATCGTCCAACTTTCGTTCGAGCGAGCTCACCTTGACCATGCTGCGGCGACTCCTCGACCACGATCACGATGGTGTCGGGTTCTGGACCGCGACCAGGTCGCGGATACCTCGGCCTACCGCGTGGTGGTTCGTCCACGACTATCACTGGTATTACCTCTCCGCTGTTGGGAGGATGACGAGGGAACTGCGGGGGTTGTCGAATTGGAGGCATCGGATGGACGATTATTTGGGGACGTCTGTGATGATACTC